ACACACTCACTCACTCACTCACTCACTCACTCACACACACGCACACACACTCTCACACACACACCACACACTCTCACACACCACACACTCTCACACACCACACACTCTCACACACACACACACACTCACTCACACACACACTCATTCTCACACACACATACACTCACACATACACTCATTCTCACATACACACACACACACTCACTCACTCACTCTCTCACACACACACTCACACACACACTCACTCTCTCTCACACACACACACACACACACACACACATACACACTCATTCGCTCACTCACTCACTCACACACACACTCATTCTCACACACACACACACACACACACACACACTCATTCACTCACTCACTCACTCTCACACACACTCACTCACTCACTCACTCACTCACTCACACACACACACTCACTCACTCACTCACTCACACACACACACTCATTCTCACACACACAGATTTGTTTTTGTGAAAAGTGGGTAAATGATACTGTGATTACTGAGCGTGGGACGGATGGATCCGGCATGAATTCCTCCTGCTGCTCACGACTCAAAAGCAATTGGTTAGCTTTGGCCGATTTGACTGTTTCTCATCTCATCCCATCTCATTTAACAGCAGAACTATACTGTAGTGCCATAGTGTTCACATACTACTGTAAAACACAACTGTTGAACATTTATGCTATTCTTTCCGTTCTGTTTGGCCATTTTTACTGTTCCTTTATTTCATAATTTTTTCATTGTCTTTGTTTTCTGTGAATTATGAATGTTTTTATTTATTTCTGTTCAGATGATATTAGAATGTTATTGTTTATTGTAAAAAAAACACCTTTTGATAATTGCAAGTTTACTGCAGCGAAGGAAAAGAGCGTTGACTTGAAGCGTTGCACATGCATGGACCCAGACGTTTGCCTTTCTCAGTTCCAGAGAGCAGGGCCTGTGACAGTGCTGGGATCAGGCTGGATTCCCAGTCCTGTAGAGATTGGGCAGAGGAACTGCATTAGGGGCCTGCCCGACCTGCTCCAGCAGTCCTCCTCGGCTCCCAGCAGCCCTGCCCTGTCCCCCCTCAGTCCCTCGGACAGAGTCCCGTGCCTAGCAGAGGTACGCAGCGCAGTAGAGCCACAGTCTCTGCTGTTCTGATGGTGGGAGGTCTTATCTGTCTCTTTACGATGCTACCTTTTTATGCTACTAATTCTCTTAGCAAACTTCTAACAGCTTCTTCTGATTAACCAGCATCATTAACTAGTGGATAACGCTAACTGATGAGCCACTCAGACGTGAATAACACATGCTCAAGCAGATGTGCAAAAGGCTTTTTTTTTCCCCAATAAGTGTTTACTCGCTGAAATGAAACCGGCTCATGTGACTGATGCACATATCTGGCAATAGTTTTTATTTGAACGTCTGAATTAAAAGATCGTAAAGTTTCTAACAGAAGCAGCCTAGAAACAAAAAAACATTAAGTTGGTAGCTTGTATGCCCGATTAACTCGTAGCATTTGCCCGTTTCAGTTCGAGGTTAACTCCCCAACCACTTTTGTCAGGAGTAGCTCAAGCGAGTGGAGTATGTCATAAATAGTACAGGTCATGTGTCTGCTGTCCGTATCCATTATAATGGATCTGCTTTTGATGCTACACAATGTGCTGCTGCTCAGGTCCGGTGTAGACATGATGAACTGACCACAAACAACACAAGGTTTAACAATCTTCCCCGGCATCTGAATCTTTGTGCAGCTGCAGTGAGCTTTAGATGGCTGTTAACCTGAGAAGCTCTCTACCCTCGCTCATCCTTCACATGATGAGGTAAAGCAGACATTAAATTGAGAAGGAGAGAGAATATCACATACTTTGGAGATCTGAGGTGATAATATGCTAGTAACAGTGCTAATATGCTTTTATTTTTTAAACTGAGGTCACTTTAAAACATGATTCCGAAGTTGTTGACCTGGTTACTTGCTTTAAGTGATAGAGAGTCAAGATGTGGAGCGAGAGATACTCTTTGCACATAATTACCGATGACAAGTACCTCTGCCTTATCTTTGTTTAGCTGTAGAAAGTTCTGTGACATCCACAATTTCATGCCGTCTATGCAGTCCAGTAGGGCTGAGCTAAAGAAAGCATGTGTAGGTTAAATGATAGAGGACCCAAACTTGAGCCTTGAGGAACACCACAAGAAATGGCGTAATGCCTGGAGGTGTAGGTACCCAGTGTAACTTAGTATTTTCAGAAGTTTAGGTACCGTTTTTAATTGTAAAGAAACAAAGAGGTAAGGTGTATATATCTAAAAAGTGAACACACATACTATTATTAGAATATATATATGTATTCTGTAATGCGATATATCACGATAATGAACATGCACGATATTGTTATCATGGCCACTTCAAAATACAGAGAATAATTATTTATTGCAAATTATTCAGAATTTTGAATGCATTTTAAGAATACTTTTCCCATTAACTTATCACAATGCACAACACTGCTGCGTCAAGTCTCATCTGATGTAAACAGATTTGATTTATATTTATTTTTCAAATACTGTACATTATTGTAGGTCCTCTATGCCCCGCCTCTCTCAAATGCTTCATTTTCTACAAAGTCCCTCCTTCAGACAAGTGCAGTCTGCTCTGATTGGCCAGCTGACCCAGTGCATTGTGATTGGCTGAACACCACAAGCACTCATCAGAAATGTAACACCCCTTACCATAATAGCGAGAGTCAGCTTTCAAAATAAATGTAAAGACAGTAAATAATGTCATTAGTTTTACCATCAGTTGTTAACTATGTATTTTTTGTGTATTTCTTTACTGTATTTATTTATTTATTCAGTTATTTTTGTTATAAGAGAAGAGTTATTAAACTTGTTATACGGTATTATGACAACACTTTTTTGCAACTAAATTTCAATATTGTGATAATACCGTATACCTTGATAAAAGCAACATGAAAATTTGATACCGGCATATCCCTAATATAAGGTTAACTAATGAGATCTTATTGTAAAGTGATACCTATTGGTCCTTATAATTCTTTTGCACTTTAATCTGTGTAAAAATGTTAACTGTGTATTTTTTGTGTATTTCTTTATTGTATTTAAATGTTCAGTTATTTTTGTTATAAGAGAAGAGTTATTAAACTTGTTATACGGTATTATGACAACACTTTTTTGCAACTAAATTTCAATATTGTGATAATACCGTATACCTTGATAAAAGCAACATGAAAATTTGATACCGGCATATCCCTAATATATAAATACAGGGCTGGGGAGTAAAAAAAAACATTTAACAGCGTTACGTATTTAAAATACAAAATATGAGTAACTGTATTTCGTTATAATTACATTTTAAATAGGTGGCAATCAAATTACAGCTAAATCCGAAAAGTATTACCAAAGTGATTATAATGACATTAAAATCTTATGATTTTAATGTCATTTCTTAATGTAATATTTAAGTAAACAGTTTGGGGATTTTAACCAATAAGGCAACTGATTCTCTGTTGGGAAAAAAAACAAAAACAAAACAACTGCGTGCAGCAGCCTGTTTATTTAGCAACTCGTAGTGAGAGTGCCTACGCTCATCATCACGACACAAAAATGGATGACACAACAGAAAGCCATTTGCGTAATGCATTTCTCTCGTGGAAATACAAAGACTGTTTTACTTATAAATCTGAAAAGAACATAACATCTCAGCGCAATGCAATGCCTACCTGAAACAAAACTTCTATCAGCATCGAAGGATTCAACGTCTAATCTGAAAAAGCATCTTTTGAGGGAAGTTGTTCTTGATCGTTGAAAAATTTTATCCAGTAACTTGTTTTTCTATTTTCTCATATTTTGAGTGTTGAATTGTTATTACGATTAACATTTCTAAGAATTTAATGGAAAAATGACAACGAATTCACCTAGAATTCACACTTTGCATCCAGTTAACAGATCCATACGAATCATGCATGAAATAAAAGTTTATAAAGTAAAACGATAGCTTTGTGTGCGCTTTACAGATGAACTTTAAATCTTTATTCATTCTAAATGTTCAAGAATAGATTAACTTTGGCACGATAATGCAAGTTCATGATCTGATTCGTGAACAGATGATTCTTTTGATTCAATCTTTTAAATGAATCCTTTATTTTGTTTAACGAAACTAGTGTGAATGGTTCACATTAAACGGGATAGATCTGGGGTGTGTTTTCCAAAAGCATCGTCAGCGAACTGTGTTTGTTAAATTACATTGAACTATAATGACATTAAGTTACTTGCGACCGTAGTTGCTTTGGGAAACGAGCTCTGTCAATTTTCAGCAATTATTTTGTGCCGGTCGCTTCTCCATCGAGAGGATCATCAGTGAAATAATCACTTAAAGTTTGGTCCATTCATTAAACAAATCTATTGTATAACTTGGAGAACTGCCAGTTGTTTTGGCTACTTTTATGATACTTTTATGGTGTGTGTGGATTCGTTTTGAAGCTTGGAATGCAGCATGAAACTGCACGGAATCCCATTCATTCTATTCAGATGGAATTTATATTGATTGGTAGATTTAAATGAGACAACATTTTTTTGTTGTCCATAGAAATGCTGTGGAAAACTGATGTTGTTAAAAATAAAATGCAAGGAAATGCAAATCTTATGACTGGTAGATGTCACTTTTATTTAGAAAAAAAATTGTAATCTTTTATGGTGTGTGTGGATTCGTTTTGAAGCTTGGAATGCAGCATGAAACTGCACGGAATCCCATTCATTCTATTCAGATGGAATTTATATTGATTGGTAGATTTAAATGAGACAACATTTTTTTGTTGTCCATAGAAATGCTGTGGAAAACTGATGTTGTTAAAAATAAAATGCAAGGAAATGCAAATCTTATGACTGGTAGATGTCACTTTTATTTAGAAAAAAAATTGTAATTTGCTGCTTTGATTACAGCGGTAACCAGGGAAACGCTGCACTGCTGCTGTTCCATAAGCGCCACCTGCTGGCAGAGAGGGAATTTGCGCTCTTAATCAGCCAGTGTGCTGTTTTTGTTTCCTGCAGATATATTTTATGTAGCATAATTTCACAAAGATAAAGTTAGACCATTCTGTTTTTGCTTCAGATTTTGAAATTAGATCAGAAACTGCTGATGTATGTAGATTCTTTCTTTGGATCGTAGGGCTGGACGATATAGCCAAAATGTATATCACAATATATTTCTTTAGTTTGGTTGATAAGATATAATCCTGATATCGATATGAACAATATTTTAAAAAGCCTCAGAATCACTGCCAAGAACGCCCACAACAGATGTCTATACAAACTTCTGAAAAATTTATTTGCGAAGTCTATGAAACCTCCTTCTATAAAACTATGTAATATTTTAGAAAAATTAATTAAATTAATGTTCACCTTTTGTTTGTATTTAGCCAGACACCTTCAGCTTGCTTGCATCCATGTCCCCGCTTTTTACTCTCTTTCTTAGAATTGTAATGATCGCGGTTTTCATCAGTCAATTCATCCTTTTTTTCCACCAACCACCATCAAGTCATTCAGCGTGTTTTGTCATCTGTGTGTTTAGTTGTAGCTGTTAGACTGCTTTTTACAAGCATTATTATAATGAATAAACTCGAGAAGGCTTAAATGTTCAGTGTTATTCTGCTCTGTGTTGTGTTCTCACAGACTCCCACCGTGCCGAAGCACAAGTCTTCCTCGTCTTTCACGCCCTTCATTGACCCGCGTCTCCTGCAGGTCTCTCCATCCACCGGCAGCGCGCTCAATAATGCTGGTAAGTGTGATGGTCTCGCTCCACCGCTCCTGTGTGAGGAGAGAGACAAACTCTACTTATGCTGCTTCTGAAGAACAACACAAACAAGTCGAACGCATTTTTTTGTGGTATTTAACATTATGGCACAAATGTTGTTGATTGAACCCAGAATATTTTGAACAGTACAGAATATGACTTAGATTTAGATGATTTAATAATAATCAGGATAGGATTGTCATGTCAATTATTTGACCTCTAGTCAGATCTTGGTAAGTGCAGCAAATTTTCATTAGTGAATCTAACAAAACAAAGAATTCAAAAGAAAAAAATGCTGAAGGAAAGTAAGCCTTCTTGGGGGAATCGTTTCAGCAGCTAGAAGACGAAGCGCTGCAGGACTCCTAAGATCTGGAACACGCAGATGAAAGTACCTTGAAGTGAAGCTTTGCGCGCCGGAGCTTAACCTTGTTACTAATTTGGTCCAAAACTTGGTCAATCCGCTTTCTCTGGGATGGAGACTCACTACACTCAGAGTTCATCCCTTTGCAGTGAGCACAAGATTGCAGTTTGAAACTTCTATTAAATATCGATTTTTACAAAGCTCATCGGTCTGAAAAGCTGTGCTGTGATTGGCCAGCTATCCAGTGCGTTGTGATTGGCCGAATACCTCAAGCGTGTGACGGAAATGTTACGCCCCTCACCATACTGTGATGATGCCCTGTCCGGCCGGAGCGACAACACAAAAACATTAAAACCCATTATAAACGAGGCATTTGTTGCATCCAGTGTGGACATAATTACTGATTATAATGACTTATACTGTCTTTTTTCACGCATTGCGTTGCATCGTGTCTGCATTTGTGATCGGAGAAATGACGAACAACAACCACTACTCTACACTGCCCAAAAAACTCATTTTAAATATATAAAATATAAAAACTCTTTAAATATAAAAAACGTACTTACAGTCTGTGAGTCAGAACAGCCGGCATTGTAGTCTACTCTCCCAGGATCAGGAAACAGTCCTCCATAAAATGTGCTGCACACATCTGAATATTTGGGTTGAAGTGTTCTGGAACAGTGTTGTAAATACAACTTAACCACTGATTTCTAGTCGTGTCCTCTTTTGGAAGACCAAACAAAGTAGTTTCACTTTCACAACGAAACACAGCGTCTCACACGGCGCCCTACAGTGAGCAGAGGCCGGGGGCTAGCGTGAGGAACAGCGGGAGGGTTAGAGTGAGCAGAGGCGTGGATTCGACGAAGGAGCATCCGGAAGGACATGTGATGACCCCGTGCTGGACTCTGCTTTGTCCACGGTGAAAGCCGATCTGGTGATCCACAGCGCAAAGTTGTTGTATTTCCTCAGCAACCAGCACAGATCAGCTCATTGAAATAGCATCATATGACCCCTTTAAATAGAAGTATAAGTATGAATTACAGTAGACTTGTCTAAAGCACCGATCATTGTAGCCAATCACAGTCATATCTGTTGAGTAAGAATCCGCTCAAGTGCTAGTGGGAAATGCTGGTATTGTCTCTTTTTTTTTTATTTCAGTCCTGACTGGTTACACTAAGTGTAAGAAGGGTGTGTTGTAGTTTGCATCAGTTTTAAGGTTTGAAAAGCATAGTTATGAATGGATTTGGATGGATCTCTGTGATCTGTCTTTGTTTCGAGATCCTAAGGTTATAGGTGAAGGGAAGACCTGTCCTTCCCGGGCTTGCTGCCAGAGGTGGTGCTCTTGTCCTCCGAGAGGAGTCTGGCACTTGTCCTGGCGTCTTCATCTGATGGAGTTGGACAGTTTAGTTATGTTAGTCTGCCAAGATCCAGTCAAAATGTATAAAACCTTTGTCCATTGTTGCAGTCAGAGACTCATACTCATGGCGTGCCCCAGTGAATGCTGCTCACTACAGTTTTTTGAACAGTATTTCATTTAGTGACTAAAAAAATCAATAATGGGAATTCTAAGAAGTGCATTACAGAATCAGAATTTGGGGGTAAATGTTTTGTTTTTTCCTCTCTGAGATTACAGATTCATCTGCATACATACAGTGCACTCACACAGACCAATATACACTATAGAGCAGGGGTCTCCAACCGGGAGCTACTTTTTACAAAATGAAAGCATATTACACAATACTTAAATCTCTTAAATAATGTATCAGTCCAAACTGTTATACACGGTATTGTTAAAATGTGCTGGAAATGTTAAAAACGTACTGATACACACACTGAAATAATTTTACCAAGTTTTATGACAAAAGCCAGCAAAAATTAGCAGCACTATCCACTTTTTGTTTGCATTAACAATTAAATAAAAACATAAAAAAACTGTCATGAGTCTGGGCCCTGCGTTTCTCCCTCTCTCCTCCAGAGGGCGCCATCTCCCGGACTCCATTCCCCAAACCCCACGCACCTGTTCACCCATTACACTAATTCCCCAAACCCCATACACCTGTTCAGTCATTCACTCATTACACTCACCCTCAGCTGTTCCCCATTGTCACAGACTATATCTTCTCCTCTCACTCATCACTCTGTCTGGCTGTATTGTCAATGTATTCGTATCTGTCATTCCTAGATCTGTTTTGTTTTGCCTTGTTGGCCTTTCTGTTCATTAAAAATAAGTTTTCACCTGCATGTGGACCCAAACCCTGTTTCTCCTTGGTGTTTCGTACCGGGCCGTGACAAAAACGATGACCGTTTTTTCAACTAACAAAAAATAGTCATAACATGTTATCTACTGACATGTACTACATGTTCAAATAAAGTTTTGACCATTTTTAAAAATAAAATTATAACATTTCAGCCTTAAAATTTTTTTTTATAAAAAGTTAGAATGATAAATAAAATGTTCCTATCTGCGCCATAAACAGTTCTACATAAGCTAATGTGCATTCTAAAAATCTCAACACTTCTGATAACAGTTAAGGTAGCCTATTTTCCATGGACCGGTTAAAGGAGTCCTATTATGCTCTTTTACAAAGTCTTGATTTTGTTTTGGGGGTTTACTAGAACAGGCTCTCATGCTAGGTTGTTCGAAAAACACATTATTTTTCACATATTTTACATTATTACAACACCTTTCTCCCCAGTCTGGCATGAACGGCTCGAATAGTTCCTGAATCAAATGAAGGCCTGCCTTCTGAAATGCGAAATATGCTGTGATTGGTTAGCTGGGCCAGTGTGTGCTGTGATCGGTTAGGGGGGTCAGTGTGTGCTGTGATCGGTTAGCTGGGCCGGTGTGTGCTGTGATCGATTAGCTGGGCCAGTGTGTGCTGTGATCGGTTAGGGGGGTCAGTGTGTGCTGTGATCGGTTAGCTGGGCCAGTGTGTGCTGTGATC